GCTTTCACTGTTGTGCTGATGATACTCCGCTCTGTATTTCTTCACGGCCTGAAGAAAATACTAGTAATTTCCTACTGCTAAATTCTGAAAAAAAAGGTTAATTTTTGGACTAAACACCTCCACATGTAATAATTTAGAGCGCTGTCTAACACTTGATGTCTACTCTGTCAATTCTTCTTTATCAATTAGGAACCTAGGTGTGCTATTTGATAGCAATCTTTCCTTTGAAATACTTTAAATAGTATCTGTGAGGATTTCCAGGTCAGGATTTAAACTATCATAGTATTGAGACTGCTCTCATCAGAGTTACAAATGACCTGCTCTTATCATCCGATCGTGGTTATATTTTCCTATTAGTGCTACTGTATCTTAGTGCTGTGTTTGACACTATCGACCACAACATTCTTTTAAGTAGACTACAAAAATATGTTGGCATTAGTGGAATTGCATTGGCATGGTTCAAATCTTACTTATCTGACCATCATCAATTCGTAGCAGTGAATAATGAGGTATCATATCACAAGTGCAGTATGGAGTACCACAAGGCTCAGTACTAGGACCGCTGCTTTTCACTCTTTTCAAGTTACCCTTGGGAGATATAGGAAACATGGTGTTAGCTTTCACTGTTGTGCTGATGATACTCCGCTCTGTATTTCTTCACGGCCTGAAGAAAATACTAGTAATTTCCTACTGCTAAATTCTGAAAAAAAAGGTTAATTTTTGGACTAAACACCTCCACATGTAATAATTTAGAGCGCTGTCTAACACTTGATGTCTACTCTGTCAATTCTTCTTTATCAATTAGGAACCTAGGTGTGCTATTTGATAGCAATCTTTCCTTTGAAAACTGTTTCTAGCATTTGTAAAACCACATTTTTCCATCTTATATATATATATATATATATATATATAAATTATGGCCTATGCTCTCAATTTCAAATGCAGAAACGTTAATTCGTGCATTCATGACCTCAAGGTTAGAAGGTTAGAATGCTTTATTGGGTGATTGCTCAGTGCTTTTTCTCGTATGTGTAAAAACACATTTTTCTATTATATATATATATATATATATATATATAAATTATGGCCTATGCTCTCAATTTCAAATGCAGAAACGTTAATTCGTGCATTCATGACCTCAAGGTTAGATTATTGTAATGCTTTATTGGGTGATTGCTCAGTGCGCTTAATAAACTCCAGCTGGTCCAAAATGCAGCACCTAGAGTTCTTACTAGAACAAGGAAGTATGACCACATTAGCCCGGTTCTGTCAACTCTGCACTGGCTCTCTATTGAACATCGTATACATTTTAAAATCTTATTAATTACTTATAAAGTGCTGAATGGTTTAGCTCCTCAATACTTGAGTGAGCTCATATCGCATTTTAGTCAGGGATGGACTGGGAGTAAACAACGGCCCTGGATTCTCTCCCAAATAGGCCCACCGTAACTACAAACAGCCGCTACTATCTAATATAGGTTATGTTACAGCAATCAATGTATTGGATTTATGGCAAATAACATCACAAAACCCATGGTGACCCTACTGAAAAAAAAACTATAGAAACCATCACAGAAATTCTAATGGTTTCCACTACAAATGGCATTGCAAACATTACAAACCATCAACTTTTAATCACTAAAACCATTAAATAATGGTTTCCTGTAGTGTGTTTTGGGACATGTTCCATTAGGATTTAGTGGTTTTAACAATAATAATATTTAACAATAATAGGCAACCAATTACCAGTAGAGACCAATAGGCTCCATTACAATTTCCATCAAAACCAATACAATTTCCATTATAACCAGTAAAAGCATTACAAATTCTACTGATGGTTTCTATTGTTGTTTTTCAGCACGGGATTGTAATAAATGTATTATTATATGAACTTAAATACTTGAAATCTACATAAAAAGAGCAGAAAGCAAACATGTATATGACATAATAATAAACATAAAATCTAGAAACCTGGGCCCGTATTCACAAAACATCTTAAGGCTAAAAGTAGCTTGTAACTCGCCGAGTTAGGATAAAAAAATAAATAATGGGCGTGTCAGTCCTAAATTTAGGACTCCTAAATTTTTGATCTAAACGTATTTCACAAAGCATTTTAGTGCTAAAACTAGCTCCTAAATCTGTGAAAGGTTAGGAGTAGTGAAGATGACTCCCAAGTCATTAAGACCAAACCACAAACTATTCCTAAAATGGCTGTTGCCGGCAATTTGCCTTGGAACGTAAACATTTTAGAAATATTTGATGATCATGAGCTTTTATAAAAAGGTATCCCCTTCTGTTTTGAAGGTTATCCCAACTCCAAATTTTCCTTTGATTATGTCCTTGTTTTCATTAACCAGTTGGACAAGAAGTAACAGCTGTGCTTGCATCCAGTTTGGTTTTCTTTTACGTTTGCATGTCTTACTATCAGCCATGATTATTCTACTCTGTTTATTAAAAGGCTGTTTATATGCATATTCACTAATTATGAGAAGCATACATGTAAAAGGCTGACAATTAGCTGAACACATACTTGTTTAATTAGTGACACTTAGCCTGCATTTTAAAATCTTTATTTGAATGTGGCAACATTTTTATTTTTAAACCTTTATCTTTACTCTAAAATATTTCTATGAATAAATCTCTGACAGAGACTATATCAGCCAATCACTGTGTGGATAGTTAGTAAGCATGCTGACATCCATAGCAATGAGGTCAACCCCGCCCTTACTCTTAGCTTAAGACTTCTCTATTCCTAAAAGTTTGTCTCAGCAGCTTTGTGAATAGGTTACTCTTTGCTAAAAACTTTTACTGCTATTTAGGAGAACTCTTAGAGGTAAGAAAATGTGTTGTGACTATGGGCCCTGAAACCGAATTCAGAATTCTTCAGTTTGAGTATTCATATGTCTCTCTCTCTCTGTGTGTGTCTCATGTTAATCGGAGCAATCACCTTATAGACTACTTAATTTACTCTATTTTCTAACTCAGTAGGTCTCAAATGTACCCGTTGTAGAATAGCTGATGTCTCTTTATGACAGACAATGTGAAGTGATAAACTATAGGCTACATGCTGTGACAGAGGCAAGCAAAGGTAACCTGATGTAACTGTTGGCTTTTTTTTATTTTAGCTTCTCCCAAACACCTTTATCTTCACGTTTTTTGCTTGCCATCACGAGCCCTCTCTCCTTCGCGTCAGTTTCGGTTTATTATAAGCAAATATAAATTGCATTAGCGCCCCCTTTTGTCAGCAGTCAACGTCACTTAATTTGACACTTTTTCTTTGATGATGACCCAGCAGGCCGACTGCCGTCGAACGGATGGCCGTTTTGGACTTCTCCAGAACGTCCAGGTGACCAGTCCGCCCCTGATGATAGTCCTTCACATCTGCTGCGATCTCAAAAGACTGTCCATTTGATAATACGTAGAATATCAAAATCAACTGCGGGCAGCAGATCCTTTTACTATTTAGTGCCTGACATCTGGAATAATCTACCAAGCATTGTTTGGGAGGCAGACACACTATCAATTTAAATCTAGATTAAAGACCCATCTCTTTAACCTGGCATATACTTAACACACTATCACATTTCTATAATTCAAATCCGTTAAAGGATTGTTAGGCTGCATTAATTAGGTCAACCGGAACATTTCACATAACACCCGATGTACTCGTTACATCATAAGAAGAATGGCATCTACGCTAATATTACTCCGTTTCATTCTTATTCTGAGGTCACCGTAACCACCCAGATCCAATCAGTTTCCAGACCCGATGGCTACCGTAGCCACCCAGAACCAGTCCATATCCAGACCAGATAGTGGATCACCATCTAGAGACAACCTCTACAGCCCTGAATGCCAGCGGAGACCATGTCAACTAGATGAGCCCTACAGACAGATCCCCCGCGAAGACCTCATCAAATAGACGGCCATCGGGACAAGACCACGGGAACCAAACCTCTGCACAAGTCCTCTGCACAACCTGACCGGTGTTGCAGTCTGGAATTAAACCACACCATGCTGATTTTGTCTGGCCAGAGGAGAACTGGCCCCCTGAATAAGCCTGGTTTCTCCCAAGGTTTTTTTTCTCCATTTCTGTCACTGGCAATATTGTCGGCTTTATTGCAAAGACACTATTGGAAGAGAGCTGAACTGGATGACTGTAACACACGCTCATAGATTGGGAAAAAAGGAGGCGGGAACCAGCGAACGTGGGAGCCAGCCGTTACCACGGCTCTCTGATGATTCAGTGATGCCCACTCGTCACAGTGACATCACTGAATCATCAATGAACTGACTTTAACTGAAAAATTTACTGTTTGTTATTGTCCTCTTGCATTATTGATAAACAAACTTTCCTGTTTGACACTGTAAAGCTGCTTGGACACAATCTGTATTGTATAAAGCACTATAAATAAAGGTGACTTGACATCTCTTTATTTGTGAAGGTTTAATTTTTGTTAATCTCTGTACATATTTGTGGATCATAATCTATTAATCTGGAATAATGCAGCAAAAACATCTCCATACTTTTAGGTTTTAAAATAGTTTTTTTAACAAGACATTTGTGGAAAAGCAGAGATATTTTGGGGAGATACCAACCTGCACAGCTCTACCATTAAAGAAAGCATAATGGTCAACTTGGATAATGTGTGCCTTGATTAGCAATCACATTATAGCACTGAGACGGAGTTGTACCACAGTCATTACCATAGGATACCGTAGAAATGAATGAGAAATGCCATATCCCAAATCCAACCTTTGGTAAAATTGTCTGTGACTTCTCTTATAAAACAGCTTTTGTTGTTGTTGTTGTAGTAAACTCCAAAGATAGACAATTCAAAATGAATATTTACACCAGTGTTCAATATGTGGTAAGAGTCTTGAAGTCAACCTCTTCCATCTTATCATTGCAGGTCACGGCATAAACAGAAAGTACCTAATATATGATGACACAAATCAGATAAAATTAATCTGAATCAAGTTCTTTCCCCAACTCTTACCTGTCCTCTTAGACGCATGTCCTCCCAACCCCGAATGTTAGCTGTTCTGTGCGGGAAGCCTAGTCCTTTCTCAAAAGGTTGAGTTCCCTGATAATGCCCGTGGATGATTTCAGAATGCCCCATGTCCCGCACTGGCTCAATTAGGGCTTCCTGGGCTAGGCAAGACTGCTTAGAATCACAGTCCACTGTGGCTCGTACTGATGACATCATAGACTCCATTGCCTGCCTAGGCAGGGAGCATTGTAGAGACCCCACTCTGTTCTGGGTTGGTTCTGGGGTAGAGAGCCAACCAGGAGCCCCCTGGTCCTGTAGATATGACAGGAAGGACCCACCACTTAACCTGAGAAATTAGACAGAAAATCATAAAGATGTAATGACAATGCAGTCAGCAGTAATCACTGTGAGTGGAAGATGATATATTTCTGTTACAAAGAACCACAGACAGTCAGTGAAAAAAGGGTTGTTATATAAACAAAGGCAATGCAATTCATCATTCCCATAAAGACTCTATGAAATAATCGGATGAGTGCAGTTTGTGTATTCCTATTGCAGGGGTGTCCAGTCCTGCTCATGGGAGGAGACTGCCTTTCAGAGTTTAGCTCCAAACTGCTCCAAAACTCCCTGGAAGTTTCTAGTAATCCTTGATTAGCAGGTTCAGGTGTGTTTAATTAGGGTTGAAATTAAACCAGTGCGTTAGCTGTGTCCCAATTTAATGGCTACATCCTTTGAAGGAGTCAGACTTCAAAGGCCACACCTTTGAAGTCCGCGAAGTTTGGATTGAGGGGATGGTCTAGCCCAGGGCTGCCCAAACTTGGTCCTGGAGGGCCGGTGTCCTGCAGAGTTTAGCTCCAACTTGCCTCAACACACCTGCCTTTAAGTTTCTAGTATGCCTAGTAAGAGCTTGATTAGCTGGTTCAGGTGTGTTTAATTGGGGTTGGAGCTAAACTCTTCAGGAAACCGGCCCTCCAGGACCGAGTTTGGACACCCCTGGTTTAGCCTATGAAGCACTGTTCTTGTTACCTAGCCACTGTGACAGATGCTGTTGACGAGCTGAATTTTTTTTAAAAGTTATATTCAACTGCCTAAAACAAAACAGGGTTCAAAACTTGTCTAAATATGTTCACCTTGGTCCAATTTTGTACACAACAAAGTGTATAAACTATATAAAATCGCATCTTGGTAAGATGTAAGTCAACATTTGAACCACATTATATATATTTTTTTTTTAATTTTTTTTTTACATTTTTTTTTACATTTGTATCATGAGATACATTGGATTAGAGTAATTATAACCTAATACTTACATTTAAAAGTGTAATTTGGCAATTTCTCTAAAAAAATATTCTTGTCACTGGCGTGCAATGATTTCTGGGGTAGGTGAGGCCACGAAGTGTCCATCTGTTGTACCCTTCATTCCCCACGAAACAAAGGGTGCATTTGGAGGCCACATTTGAAGGAGCCTTTGAATTGGGACAGCCTTTTTCGCTCGCGTTGACGCAATTGCCCTTCAAATGCGCCCTTCAGAGGAGTTTTAATGGGACTGAATAAGTGCACTTTATAACATCCACTATGGTTTTGGACACCACTACAAATGGCTGTCCCTAATAGTGCCCTGTTTAAGGGTATGGGGGCATATTTCGGACACAGCCCAGGGGTGTCTAAACCTGTTCCGGGAGAGCCACTGACTTGCAGAGTTTAGCTCCAACCTTAATTAAACACACCTGAACCAGCCAATCAACGTCTTCAGACTCATTAGAAACTTCCAGAACTTCAAAACCACACTTGACAGTTTGTACTCTGGACAAACCCAATGACGCTTACATTTTCAGTCATTTCCTTTGTGACCAGTTTGAAATTAAATACAGATGAGTGTCAAACAAAGACAAACAGAACTATAATTTGCTACTTGCTATTGCTAGTCAGAGAAAATTGGTATAGACAGAGATGTCCAATCCTGCCCCTGCAGGGCCAACTTCCAGCAGAGTTTAGCTCCAGCCCCAATTAAAAAGACCTGAACCAGCTCATCAAGCTCTTCAGGATTACTAGAAACTTCCAGACCATTGTGTTGGAGCAAATTTCTGCAGGAAACTGTCCCTACAGGAGCAGGATTGGACACCCCTGGTTTAAACCTTACAACTTTTAAAGAGTTTTTGTCTAATTCTAATGAAAGTCTTTTGGAAAGATGTTTCATCAGCTAAACAACTGGAATGTTGTTAAATAACAGAACAATTCATTCAACAAACTTCTGTTCCTCACAGCCTGGTATTCATTCCTGTCAAAAATTAAACATGGCACTACCCGGACTAATGTCTGCTTGTAATTTAGGATGACGGGCTGTTCTCATTCTAGAGGTCAAAACTTTTTATATCATTAGTCACTAATATTTTCAGTCCATTTTCCCAGAAAAGAAAGATTAAACTCTGTGGCACTATTAAAACATTGCATTCAAAACATTCAAAACTTGTTTGTTTTCGACCAGCCCCACACAACAATGGCTCAACTAGTTACATCGGTCTGGGACAAGACTATCGTAGCATGGAAAGAATTTGGGAAACCTGTTTCACAACAGTTCAGTTTTTTGCTATTCTGTTCAGTGATGCTAGTAGCATGTATATTACACATTTAAAGAGCAGGTCATATGGTTTTTTAAAGTGTCCTAATATTGTGTTGGAGTCCCCTACAACAGGTTTAAATGCATCTAAGGTCAGAAAACACTGTAATTTTCCAAGAATATACATTTATACATAGAGTCATTTGTTCATGATTTCGAAATGGTTCGTTCAATTCAGTTTTGAGCAAAATGTCTGTAAACCCCTCCCTTCCATAAGCCTACTCTGCTCTGATTGGTCAGCTGGCCAAGCCTGTTGTGATTGGCACAAAGAGGAGCGCTTGAGCAAGTTAGCAAGCACTACCATCTATGTTGCCAAGTCTGCAGTTGTTTTTGATGTCGCAGGTTGTAGTGACCCCAATAACGTCATATTTAGGCACTGGAATGCGAATTTACCAGGGGAACCCCGACTGAAAGCGTGTATTTTACACCCCAGAACACGATTTTTAAAGGGGGACCACCCTCGAAACACAATTGGGCTAGTTTTGAGTAGCAATTGGGCAGGTTTTGTTGTGACAACCTGGCAACCCTAGCATGGACCTTTACATAAAACAATAATATAATGCTCCAATCAGTTTTTAAAATATCAACATTTTGTTTAACACTTATGCAAGCGAATCATGCCCACAGCTAAAGTTTAGCTGCTAAACTATAAACACTTAACAAAACAATAATGGTGGATATGTTAGCCGAGTGCAAACATGACTAACTGATGAAACAATACAGTTTGAAAACCAAAATATGTCTACTGTAATGTCTGAAGAACGACAGACAAAAGACGCTCCATGTCTTAACCTTTAATTATAACGCAGAACAGCTGTATCACATGCGCACCAGCCTAACTAACTCGTCTCTCTCTACCGGGTCTTTTACTCTCTGCAATAACCCTATAACTACATAAACAGCACTTCCACAATGATTATAAAGTCTGTGCGCTACACTACATTCTTTATTTTTAAACGAAGTAATTAGAACAACCACAGTCTACATTAATCGACACATTCTTAGGAAATAGTGGGTTCACAGCGAATTATCAGAACTATTTCAGTAAAACAGTAATATTGTGCTTTACCTGGAAACTTAAAGCTGCACTAGGTATACATCACATATTAGCACAAAAAAAACCTAGATATTTTGAGCACTCAGTTGAAAATGTACACATAACGTATCAATCGTACTTACAGGTTGTGGTTCGGAGACGCTTGTTGGTCCAAATAAAGAAGATTAGAAGCCAACAAATATAAAAGGCAAGATTAGAGAAGCAGTCCTCGGTAAAATGACGAGCACAACAAAAGGTTCGAATTGTATTGCTGTGGTATCGTGGAACACAGCATCTTCTCGACACAGAGAGTGTTCGTATTTCGTGGGCAGGCGGGGATTATGCTAATGTGTTACCCAGTGACGTAGATCAGTAACAGGCAGAAGATTCGAAAATATAACGACTCGTTAAGGTAATTCTGAGTCGACTCTTTCTTTTGAGAGACAATATCTTTATTTATCACGCACTTTTGTGATTAACAACTTTGCAGACTGTTTACATTGAAGGATAGATACCTTACAAACTGCAAAAGAGATATTTTTTTCGAAAACCCATATGACCTGCTCTTTAAGCATACCCGGATGGCCTCATTTTCAAAACATTTTCAAAGGTCTTTGTGACGAGAGGGGCGGGGCCGAGAGCCGTGGGAACGGAGCGAGGCCGGTGGAGTAATTGCGAATGCGCGACACCTGCGCCACTCACCGGTCTCGAGTCTCACGGAGGAGCTCCGGAAGGATACAAAGGAGGAGGGACGACAGGGAAAGACGAGAGAGGACCAGGCCTGGAGTTTATTTTGTGTTTTGGTTTTGTTTGTGCGCGGCAGTCGTCCGCGAGGGGCTGTCGCGCTATTTTGTGTTTATTTTATTATTAAAGTTTCTTTGAGTGTTAAAAAAAAAAAAAAAAAAATTCTGGTTCCGGTTCCCAGACACACTGCCGCTTGGTCCTCAACCGGCTGAGAGGCTCTCACTCGCGGTGCCATGCGATGGTACTGGACATCGTTGGTGGACGGCCCACCACTCCTCCGCCTCCTGGCGGACGGCGATGGCTCCTCCTCTTGAGGGCAGCCGGCAGCGAGTCCCCCGTTCCCTGCTCCTCCCCAATCATGGCGGATGGCAGCAGGCTCCGGCCTCCTGGCGAACGGGCAGACTCCTCCGCTCCCTCACGGACGGCAGCCACCCCACCTCGACCCAGGAGCGCGGCAGCGAGCTCTCCGTCCCACCTCGTCTTCCATCGTTCCAGCACCACCGCCTCGGGCAGCCACCGGCGATCTCTCCGCTTCTTCCCGCTGCCCGATCTCCTCAGCACCGCGATCCCCCTCAGCAGCGAGGGCTCTCTGACAGCGTGTCCCTCCTTCCTCCCGGGTTTCGGCACCAATGTAACGTAGTTTGTAGGTCGGGAAGAAGCAGGCGGGAACCGGCGAACATTTACACAAACTTTAATAATAAAATAAACACAAAATAGCGCGACAGCCCCTCGCGGACGACTGCCGCGCACAAACGAAACCAACACACAAAATAAAATCCAGGCCTGGTCCTCTCTCGTCTTTCCCTGTCGTCCCTCCTCCTTTGTATCCTTCCGGAGCTCCTCCGTGAGACTCGAGACCGTTGAGTGGCGCAGGTGTCGCTCATTATCACTTACTCCACCGGCCTCGCTCCGTTCCCACGGCTCTCGGCCCCGCCCCTCTCGTCACAGTCTTTAAAATCAAGATTTGAGAATGATTACCTGATGATACTTCCTGAGGAATATATAGCAGAGTCCCTACTGGTCAACAAAGTAATTCAGAGCCTAATGTGCAACTCACCTGTCATCACCAGGATCTGCCCGTCTTCTTAGCCCAGGTGATTCACTCATTCGAGCATAAACTCGCTGTTGCCCTGAAATGAGAGATATGCTATCTTCTAAGTTTGTGCCGTCACCTCCTCCTTCTCCCAAACCTGCACTGGAACCGTCTTTAATGTTGCTGACTTCTTGACCTACAGCCCCTTCTGACCTCTCCAAACCCTGACCTCTGTCCAGAGCATTGATGTTGACCCCTTCACTCAGACACAGCATCCCAGCAGCACTGTAATCTGAATCCGCCCCAATGGATTGATCCTCAAGTAGCTCGATGGAACCACTTAACCCTCCCTGAGCAGAAAGTCCCACTGGTCCGTTTGCACCGGGAGTCCCGCTCCTCGAGTTGCCCAGGCTCCTGTTCAGTAGCGCCTCGGAGTCATCAGCATTGCTGCACTCCAGTGAAGAGTCCTCTACAGCCACAATGGAAGGACTATTGCCTGAGGGCCAAACCTGTACCTCAGACATCTCCATGAGTGTGTCCTCTTCGGTGGTAGCGATGGGTGCACACTCCATGCTCGACACTTCCTGCCAGTAGGGCTCATTGCCCAGTGGCGAAGGTAGACTGTACTGCATAGAGGCCGGTGAAACTAGTTCTTCCTGTACCACCAGCCCGTAACCTGGAGTGACACAGAGAGAGGCACACTGATACAGGCCCCCCACTGCGCCCCCCAATCTGCCCCCCACACAAGTGAACCCAGGAGGGATGTGCTCCAGACCAGGGGGTTAGGGAAGGGAGATTGGAGAGCAAGCCCACTGACTTGGCAAATGAGAAAGCAAATGGGGGTTTAAGTAAAGAATTTAGAGAGGTTGTTGCAAGACGGCTAAAGCTGCTGTAAGCCATTTCTTGTCCCACGTACCTGACAGATATCACTGAAATAAATGCCCTGAAATTGTCTCTGGGCACTTAAGTGCATCTTGCACATGGTAGCCAATCAGAGAACCCTCTGCCTGTCAAAGATTTTGCGTGTTTGTTTTGGCCAACATTGGATTTGCTGCTAACAGTGATGATTAAAACTGCATTTCAGTTCTGACAGTAGTTCAGATGACTATTATATAAAAACAGTGTGGCTTTTAATATAAAGCAGTAATGCAGCATTACACAACATAGCATTTCAAGTCTGGAGAAAGTAGGCAAGGTGGCTAACATGGTTTACAGCAGCTTTGGGTCAGCAGCAAGAGCACAGGCAATTGTGGTAGCACCAAGTATGCAATTGTATAAGACTGTCGCTGCCCCACTTGTTGTCACAAGAGATAGGGGGGGGGTTAAAGAGAACCTTTTGACGGTCACCAACCAGGAAGTAAAAGACACCCCTTCAGAACTGTGGAGTTGGGGCAGAGCACCCTGTACACACATGCTTCAACTTCCATGCTCTCATTCTCTGAGTCATGACATTTTGGCTTCTATCAGATTAAAGAACATGCATGCAAGCAACCAGCAAAGATTAATAACCATTGTTCTCATGAAGAATGGTAAGGTCTTACGCATACACAATTGTCAACAGTACTAAACAAATACAGCTGAAATGAATTCATTACATTCATGTAACCTTGATACAAGTCAACTAATAAAATACATTCACGTAATTTATGAGATTTGGGCAGAAAACTTTGTAAAGTGTGAAAACACGTCCTCTCAAACTCCAATTCAATAAGTACCTCCCAACGAAATTGGAAATTACATAGACTCAAGCCTTAAAGGGAAAGTGTGTATTTATTGTGACATTGCTTTATTTGTTTGAGCAATGTGTTCAGCAAAATTAGCTCAACCAATGACAGAGGGTTAGGGCGGGACAATCTGGTTGCCTGATCAAAGGCAGTTCCACCAATGGAAATTTTTTATTTATTTATTTATTGCTATTCCATTTGGTGACTCTAGTCATGCAGTAATTATACACTTCTCCTTTAAATGACAACAACTCAGCAAACAAACAATAGCTATACATATACTTATATGGATAGCAATATATAGATACTTATATAGATACCAAAAAAATCATTGTGGCTTAAAAGATTTTAAAAAAGTACATTCATTGTTGACAATGAGTGTGTTTTCATTTTTTCTCAAACAGCATCTATTATGTCATAAGCCAACAATATGGTAATGTAAGCACCTTAGTACTCTATTATTATTTGTTGTCTGTTTTTATAAGGAGCTCATTTGATAAGTGTTGTACATGTAAACACACTCATTGAGAGAAATGCCAATAAACTCAAGTTTCACTATACTATAAAGAGAATGATGTGTATTGTCAGAGAGGGAGAATTATGTGTATTGTCCAAAATAACATTCTTACCCTGACATAAACAATGAACCTTACTGACTAGTCTGTTTCCTCTCCCCAGTTTATGACCCTCGTACAGATAAGACCTCTCATACAGCGCACACTACACACGCCAAAGAGATATATGAACCACATGGCCCTGGAATGGGAGTTCAGAGGGTGGAGACACTCAATCATGTGACCTCATGCCTGTGTAGTTTCTTTACACTTTACAGTAAGGCAGTGTTCGAACTATACCGTGGACTTTGGGGGAGCCCACTTAATGACATGCCTTACCTTAACACAGAATCGACCGGAGTCCAACGTTTATATTTTTTTCTTCGAATCTTTGAGTTAACATGTACTAAACATGAGTGGAATTTGCACCGCACCGCATGACAAGAATAGCATGTATAGTTATCCTTATTGAAGTGAATTAGGTTTAAATCGCCGTCATGCATGAATTAATGATATTTTTGCAATTTTACACATAATAATCCACGATGATCACATTACACAAAACTGAAATTGTACGTCAAAATAACACATTGTCAATATTTTTTGAGACCCCCCAAAATTTCACAGATCACGTTTTCAGAAGAGCCTATGTCTTATTAAGGGGAGCTGAGCTCCCCCTAGCTCCCCCGTAGTTTGCACCCCGCAGTAAGGTTCTATTTGTTAACATCAGTTCACCACATTAGTTAGCTAATATGAATTAATAATTAAAACTACTTCTAAAGCATTTATTAGTTCTCAGTTAGTGGTAATTTCAACATTTCTTAATACATTATTAAAATCAAAAGTTGCATCTGTCAATATTATTAAATAGACCTTAGCTACTGTAACAAATGTATTGCTTGTTGTTTGTTAATGTTAGTTAATGCATTGACTAATGTTAACTAATGGGGCTTCATTTGCAGTTACCGAAAAATCATTTAAGGTTAAATGGATATTATTTGTAATCCAAAACTGTTACATATCTGAAAGAACCTCTATTTAGTAATAATCAAAAAATAAACAGTAATGTATAGTGATCAACGAGTGATTAATTGGGGAAGCACATTTCGTATGTGCACCTAAAGTAGTATGAAGATATAAGATTGGAATGCAAAACTGTAAATAAAATATAATGCTGTGAGGAATAGAATAGAATGCTTTGCATGGTGTCAGTACAGAATAAAAAGATGTTCAGAACAAAATAAATTGAATAAAATGGTCAAATGGTCTTTACAAACACAAAGTGGTCAAAATTGATTTATTTATGTATTTAATGCACTTAAAATATTTCAATATCATTATGACTAATTAGATCTCTTTAAGAATCTTAATGAGTTCATATGTATCTCTTTTTCTTCCCGATACTCTTTTACTACCGTAATTATAACTAGAGTTACTATGGTATTTTGGCAGAAACTGTGATTTCCATGTTTAATTTGTTTATGACATACCAGACACACACTATAATTTGTATAGAAATGACAAAGGGTGCATGAGCCCTAAAAATGTAGTATGTATACTATGTACAGGGCAGCATCCATTTGAGTACATATACTTCAGTACTACATTAGCTCTTGTGCATTTAGTGTGTATTATAGGCCTTTTATGACAGACAGAGTGGGAAACAGACATAGACACACAAAATACACTCACAAAAACACAAACGAATAAGGCACAAGTCACAAGCTCATGAGAATAAACTAGCCACAAAAGAAAAAAAAAACAATAGAAAAGTTTTCAGATAAAAAAAAAAAAAAGCAAATCCTTAACATGTTATGTATAAACAGAAACATAACATAACATCCACTCACACAAAGAAATTGCATAATTGTGAACAAATAGAGAAAATACTTATTTGTATAAGTGCTTAAAACTGATTGTGAGGAGTTGAACAGGATCCCTGAATTCACAGGTAATAGACAGACATGAGGAAAATGAAAACATTGAGTATAAATAAGTGATTGTACAGTGACCAAAAAGGTTAAAAAAAGAAAGGTAACAGAAACATATTTCTAAGAGCTTAACAACTATCAAAGATCACAAATAGCACTAGCAAGGCCTTCATGCAGCTGTAACATGCCATGCAAGATCCATTGTTAGACATCATGCCAAAAAGTGATATTTTTTATTTGAGGGGCATCACACAAGGACGATAACAACATGTGCCATAAAGACAGTTAAGTGATAACAGAATATAATTACTCCCTGAATTGAACATTTTCAGGTTAGATGAAGTTAACTTTACCTAGACTTTATTTTCTTTCACTTATCTTTATGGTAATGCACACGCACCATGTGAATTGTCATTGTGTCCTGTTTCAGAGCCCTTCAAGCTAAAGTTTGATCAAAATCTCCATGGAGAAGCATTCATGCTTTATGCCCTCCTGTGATACATGCAGACAGGGTCCAAAATTAACTCTCGCAAAGAGCCAAATGTGAGTACAACTGGATTTGGCGAGTAAATACAACTCACTGACCAGCTGTTCGGTTTCAATCTAGATGGTTTAAATCTAATTTTAAGAATAATAATGTGAATCTTGCTTATATATGTAATAAATATTTTGCTTCTACAAGTGCTGCAGTCTATTTATCTAAGATGCCTAAAATTATGTTTTTTCTCTATGTGGCAACACGCATATGAAATATTGCTTGCATTAAGTCACCAAAGCAATATTTGAATAAAATTAATTTAATTTATAATAAAAAAAGAGAAAAATACAGTTTCAAAAATATATATGGCTACAAAAGTTTTACCCGCCACTGGCAGATATGACATGGAGTTACTTTTGGACCCTGCATGCAGAGATTATGGAATGAGGTACATCCAGGAAAGTGCCACAAGAGCATGTCAACAGGCCTCATAGCAGAAAGGCGAGAAAGGGTTGTTTGGGTAGAAGGAGACAGAGCGAAAGAGAGAGAGAGAGAGACAGAAAGAAAAGGAGACAGGTGAGTCAGAAACACCTCCCTCCTGTTGGGGGCGCTAAGCATACAACTGGTGATGGAGGGGGTTGATCACAGAACAGAGCAATAACTTTCCTTTTTTTGGAGGGGGGAAGGTGGCTTGGAGGGGAAAAGAAAACACACGACTGGTCTGAGGACAGAGAGATAAATGAGGGTCAGAGGTCAACATGATGTCTGTATGAGGTCAAAGGTCAGAGAGGAGGTGCATAAGAGGAAGAGGAGGAGGAGGAGAAGGAGAGGAAGAAGGCTGGGCTGCATGTGACATATCAAGAAAAATACAAAGCATGGGGTAACGGGAACAGGTTTAATGCTCTGCCTGAATAAACAGAGAACTCCCGCCATTTTGCCCACTATTTCAAGATGTCACACACACACACACACGGCTGTCCCTTTTAAGT